GGATTTCCCCCCGGACGGGGATTTGAAGTCCAAAAAGCCGGACATGTCCGGGAAAATCCGGACGTATGGTAACCCTACCCAACACCCCTGCCTCTGCCCCGCCTCTTCTCCGAGGCCCCGCCCCCACCCACTCCATCCCCACTCCCTCGCTTGCTCTCCCCCACCCTCGCTCACTAGCTCATTTTCACTGGGCTGGGGCAGGGGGTTGGGGTGCGGGAGGGGGTGCAGGCTCCAGGGCGGGGTCAGAAATGGGGGGTGAGGGCTCGAAAACCGGACGCCTGACAACCCTACCGGCGATGCCAGGCAACAAAGCCATGATGTCTGCCCCAGGGGTAGATGCCAGCCCGGTGCCCGGGCAGAGGACTGGAGGGGGGGCTGGGGTTTCCCTGCGGGGGGGGTGAAGGGTGGGGGCGTGATGGGCTCCCTCTCCCTTCTGCACGAGGCAGGATCGACCACGGGCACCACAGCAGCAGAGCCAAGCAGGCACTGAGCGAAGCTGTCATGCTGGACCGGGCCGTGGCCCGCGCCGCCGAGCTGACCGACGCCTCGGAGACCCTCACTGTGGTGACAGCCGACCACTCGCACGTCTTCAGCTTCGGCGGCAGCACGCCCCGCGGCAACAGCATCTTCGGTGAGCGGGGGGCTCCCGGGGGGGGGTGGAGACCCTCTCTGAGATTCAGTACTCGTAGGTGATAGGGCAAGTACCCTCCCCCCAGCTCTGCCAGTGCCCCTCCCTCCTGACCCACAGCCTCCTCTCCCTTCCAGCTCTGCCAGTGCCCCTCCCTCCCGACCCGCAGCCCCCTCTGTCCCCCCCCACGCTCTGCCAGTGCCCCTCCCTCCTGACCTGCAGCCCCCTCTCTCCCAGCTCTGCCAGTGCTCCTCACTCCCGACCCGCAGCCCCCTCCCTCCCAGCTCTGCCAGTGCCCCTCCCTCCCGACCCGCAGCCCCCTCTCCCTTCCAGCTCTGCCAGTGCCTCCTCCCTCCCGACCCGCAGCCCCTTCCCCCCAGCTCTGCCAGTGCCCCTCACTCCCGACCCGCAGCCCCCTGCTGTCCCAGGCCTGGTATCTCTAAGCCTGAACCCCCACCCATAGTTGGGCTCCGCTGCGGACACTGAGCTGTGGGTGCCGCCCGGGTATCCAGTTATGGCCATGGCATGTCCAGTGCCCAGCCAGGAGGGGGTTGTCAGCCTGGGGCTGCCATCGCGAGCCAGCCGAGGGTCTGCTGACGTCTCCCCGGGTGCGTGACAGGCCTGGCACCCAAGAAGGCTGAGGACAAGCGGCCGTACACCAGCATATTGTACGGGAACGGGCCGGGCTACGCCATCGCGAACGGGAGCCGTCCGGACGTGAGCAGCCTGCCCATCGGTAAGCGCCGCTGCCCGCCCCAGCGGGGCCCAGAATCCGCCTGCCACCAGGGTGCCCGGCGGGGGCGGGTGCTGGGCCCCTCGCTCAGGGAGGTGTATGCCAGCCCCGAGGCACTGGGGAGGAGGCGTGGAGGGTCACTTCATCCCGTGCAGCTAAGGGCTGCATTCTGAGAGCGGAAAGCTGGCGGGCGGGGGGGGGAGTGGTCACGGCACCGGGCTTGCCTCAGTCACGCCTGAGCCCACCAGCTCCCGCCACCAGCTCTGGGTCTGGGGAGGCATCGGGAGCTGCTGGGAGACGGTCTCATGACTCACGACCCCTCTGTCCCCCCATCGCCCGCGCAGAGGACAAGGATTACCGGCAGCAGGCGGCCGTGCCCCTGGACACCGAAACCCACGCCGGTGAGGACGTCGCTATAATGGCCAAGGGCCCCATGGCCCACCTCTTCCACGGGGTGCAGGAGCAGAACTACGTGGCCCACGTCCTGGCATACGCTGGCTGCCTGGAGCCCTACCACGCGGGCCCCGAGTGCCCGGCACCGAACGGCAGGTCAGGCAGCCTGGGCCTTGGCCAGCCCCCCAGCCTCCTGCTCCTCGCCCTGGGGATGGCCTCCCTCCTGCTGAGGATGTGACAGCCGGACGTTGATCTCGGCCAGGCCTGGGGGACCCCCCCATGCTCTCTGCTAGCAGAGCAGCCAGCGCCCCCAGGCTGTGGGGCTGGGTCGACCCCGGCCCTCCCCCAGTACCACACGAGAGAGACGCTCTCGCTTGCCCATGTATATAATTTTGTAACAGTCTCCTGCTCTCCCAGCCGCCCCGGAAATAAAATCTGCCGCTGTTTTGTTATTACCCACATCTCTTATTTTGCCAGACGGTTGCCCCCACCCCTCGTGACGGGAGCCACTAGCTCCGGGTACCTCTGTGCCAGGCACTGCAAGGCTTGTAGCATCCTGGCTGTGTGGTACCACAACGCTCCCGGCACCGGCTCCCCCGCGGCACAACAGCTGAGGGGCGTAGAGATGCCAGGTGTCCAGCTTTCGACCGGAACATCCAGTCGAAAAGGGAAACTGGCAGCGTCCGGTCAGCACGGCTGACCGGGCAGCTGAAAGTCCGGTTGGCACACAGTTCCCGGGAAGTGGCAGCATGTCCCTCCGGCTCCTAGACTGGGGGGCATCCAGAGGCGCTCTGCGCACTGCCCCCGCCTGCAGACACTGCCCCGAGCCCCGGCTCTGCAGCTCCCATTGGCTGAGAACGGGGTAACCTGTCTGCCCCCCCCCCACCCTGCTGTACACCGATTTCCTCACCACGGCCCCTCGCTCCAGGGATTGGCCCCCGCCTGGGCAGGTTCTGCATCTCCTCCTCCCAGCCCAGCTCTGCAGGCAGCAGGTGAATCCTGGGGGATGGGGCGGGATGGGGGGGGACACAGGTGGGGCAGGGGGTGGGGCCTCTGACGAAGAGGCTGGGCAGGGGGGTTGCTTTTCAGGGATTAGGAAGTTGGCAACCCTGGGTAGGGGCAGGCGTCGCTTGGCTGGAATCCCCCCAGACATTACAGCACCCCACCCCCCCGGCACAGTCACGACCCCTCCCCGTTTCTGTAAACGCCCCGGGCGTGACCCATTCACGTGCAGCTCGGCCCTTGGGGCGACACTCGGCACAGCTGGGAAGCCTTTGCCTTTGCTTGGGAAAGGGACCACGTCGGGGCGGGGAGTGGGGGGTGGCACCTCTCGATGTTACCGCTCTGTGGCTGCGACGGCTCCTGTTCCCGCTGGCTCCTGGCTCCCTGCCCAGCTGGGGCTCAGGCCGCAGCCGCGAACTGTGTGGACACAGCTTAAACCGGCCAAGCTGTGCTTTGTAGCCGGGCAGCGGGACAATTGGCACCGGTAACGGCCCAGCGCTGCCGTCGAGCGGTCTCGGTGCTGGAGGCTTCTGCCCACCCAGCGCTGCTGGTCAGGGATCACTGGCTGGCACCAGCCTGGAGCCCAGCCCTGGTTTCACCGTGCCCGGCGGTGCCCTGGCTGTTTGCCGGGGTCTGTGCCGTGGCGGGGGGCTCCCTGTGGGTAAGCGACAAGGCCCTGCCACTGGGGGGTGGCGGGGTCTAACCCAGCAAGGGAGCCGGTGCCTTGGGCTGGGTGAGATCTCAGCCCAGGGGCTCGGGGCGTTTGCTGTTTCCTCTTCCAGTCTCCGTGGCTGGGTTTGGTGAGTCCCCGCTCAGCGCTGGGGTGGGCAGGCGCCTCCCACCCTCCACCCCCCCAGCCTGCCTGCTACTCCCCAGCTTGGTCCCCCCACACGCTGGACGTGCCCCTCACTCCTGACCCGCAGCCCCCTGCTACCCCAGCTCTGTTCATGGGCACCCATCTGCCAGCAGCAGTCCCTGGCCCTGGTGATGTCTGGCCATTTCTCCCGCCTCCTGGGGCAGGCAGCCCATCAGCTCTGCTGCTGTGAGCGCCAGGGTCTCCCCCACCCCCAGCTTCAGGGGGGGAGAAGCTGCTTGGCCTGTAGAATTATTCTTTGGGGGGGGGGGGACTGGAGGAAAAGCCCAGCTCAGGGCTGACCCCCCCCCACACAGCACATTTCTCCCAGCAGGGGAGGGGGCAGCTCT